GGGTAGGGTGATGAATTCAGGGAGTGCTTGCCTGGGGAAGCGGCATTCAAATGGAGTCCTGAGGAATGAGGAGGGGTTAGACAAGTGAAACTGGAAGGGCGTTTCAGGCAGAGGGAACAGCATAGACTAAGGCGCAGAATTTTGATAGGCGTTAATTTGGTCAGAAGCTTACCAGTTATTTGATAAGAAGAGTATGTAGGCTATATTTTGTAGGAGATAATGCTAAGGAAGTAAACAGGATTCAAACCATAAAAAAAAAAAGACAAATACATTAAATCAGATGCAGTTATCTGTCTTATCTATGTTACATTAGGATAATAAAGCATAAATGTATAAAAGTGGCATGTTTTATAATTCTGAAATACCCACTTTCCAACCATATGTAAATATATCAATCACTTCATTTTATTGGAAATTGCCATTTAACATGCCACAATTCCCTGCTTCCAATTGTTTGACTTAAGTTGATTCCCTCAGTGGTTTGTTCTAGTAACTGTTTTCAGTCAATCAACACTCAGCAAATTAGAAGATGCTACCTGTTTAGACATGTGTTCTATGTCTAACAATTTGTTTATGGAATTGATCATTGCTGCCTGTTTTGAAGTAATCAGAGCATCCCCTAGAGTCAGCAACCAACAATTAGGTAAGTGAAAACAACAGTAAGGACTTGTCAAGTTTCTAAAGTAGAAGACTGCTCGACAAACATTCATACTACAAAAAACTGACATATACTTAATAAGTCAGTCCCCTAACATCAGAAGCATGAACATTCAATGAAGCAATATGTAGAAAATGCAGAGCACAGTTCTGAGCACATAGTGAGCACTCAAACACCAGATGTTATTATGGTTTAACCATGAATTATCAGAGCCTTGGTGGACATTAGCCAATTGGTGAGGACTGGCCAGGCCATGTAAGTGCACATTAAGAACACAGAGATTTCTTTCTCTCAAATAATCCAAGCAGCTGCAAACCATTGAACTATTCAGTGCAACTTATCCACACAAGCTCTAAGAGAGTGTCAACTGTGCCCAAACAGATCTGATGAATTGCTTTAGGGAGAGTTTTCTCCTTCTGTGTTCTTCATTTTGGACAAATCTGAAGGGGCCTTTAACAGCTGAGACATTTAGAATTTAGTCCCCTCTGTGCTGCAAAAATATGCATCAAAAATGTGGCATTCCAGTTGCTTGCTCTTTAGAGTTGGAATATCATTTATCAGACTTATAGCAGAAATACCTATTTCAAAATAAAATCCATAGAGAATGCATGATTTAGAGAGAAAACAATTGCAGAAATGTGGACCTAGCAAATTTGGAAGGTATATTTACATATGTATATTTTTATTCTTTTCTACCACAGATTTAGCCTTTAACCACAAAACCTTTAACTATTAATTTAGTTTCTAGATTTTATTTTGTTTTGTTTCTTTTTCATAAATAATAAATAACAGTATAAAGGTGTAT